CTCCCAATTGTCTCCAGACGACTCTGACAACAACAACAAATCCCAGGAATTCGGATATCCAGTCGTGCCCTTTAATAGCACAGGAGAAAATAATCACTCCCATTTTATAGGGTGTTTTACGAAGCACCCTCCCTGCCGGCCGCCTGCAGTGAGGAAGGAGCTGGTGCAAGTGTTACTATCCCTTCTTTAGAGTTAATAGGAGTGATCACTCACGTTTAGTGATTGCACATTCAATCCAACTGGACGAACATTTGTGAAGTGGCCCTACTATGTCCCTGAACTGGTCCTGGGGTTAGATATAAAGACCAAGAGAAAAAGACAGAAACAGAGTCGGGGAGTGGGGAGAGGTGGGAAGGGAGAGAGACAAGGGAAGGGTAGGAAAGAGAGAGAGAGGAGAGAGAGAGACGGAGGGAAAGGAGGAGGAGAAAGATAGAGAAAGAGGAAGGGATGGAGAGAGAAAAGAGAAAGATAGAGAGGAAGGGGATGGGGGGGCAGTGGAGAAAATGTGAAAATGAGAATGACTCTGCTTGCCCTCAGAAAGCTCACAATCTGGGAAGTGTTTCTGCTTTTTGACAAACCCCCGTAAAGTTAGTAGGTAGTGGCATAGAGCGCTGGGCCTGGAGTCACAAAGAGTTGAGTTCAAATCCAGCCTCAGACGAGTACTAGCTGTGTGATGTTAGGCAAATCATTTAACCTCTATCTGCCTCAGTTTCCTCAACTGTAAAATGGAGTGAAAATAATAGCAACTGTCTCCAAATCTTGTTATCAGGATCAAATGAGATATTTGTAGTGTTCAACATGGGCCTAGCACATAGTAAATACTTAATAAATACTTCTTTCCTTTCCTTTCCTGCCTTTTCCTTTCCTCTTTTCTCCTTTCCTTTCTTCTCCACTCCTTTCCTCTCCTTTCCTTTTTCCCTCTCCTCTCCTTTTCTCTCCTCTCCTCTCCTTTCCTTTTTCCTTCCCTCTCCTCTCCTTTTTTGTCCTCTCCTTACCTCTCCTCTCCTTTTCTCTCCTCTCTTCTCTCTTCCTTTTTCCTCTCCTCTCCTTCCCTCTCTCTCCCTTTCTCTCCTCTCCTCTCCTTCCCTCCCAAAGCCTCAGCTTCCTCATGTGCAGTATGGGAAAGGTGACACTTGCCTTCATTTTGTAGATGAGCAGCCTGGGATTCATAGAAGTTAAATTCAGTGTGCAGCCACGGTTGTCATATGTGCTTTGTTATTGAACTTCACTGATTTGGGGCTCCAAGTCCAGGGCAGTGGATTTGGAGTCATGCAGTCTGGCTTCAGGTCCGAGCTCTGGCACCTAGCAGCTGAGGTCTTTTTGATCAACAGGCATCTATTAAGTAAGTGCTACACATCGTGCTCAGTGCTGGAGATGCAAATTAAACAGCTAAACAGGCCCTGTCCTCAAGGGGCTTATACTCTATTGGAGGAAACAACATGTAGCCATATAAATAGATGCAGAATATAAGCACAAGGCAATTTCTAGGTTTGGGGGAGGGGCACGAGTGTAGGGGGAATCGGAAAAGTGCTCTCCTGTTGGATACAGAGGGAACCTTCATTTTCTCATGTATAAAATGGGTATAATAATTCTCTCATTTCCTAACTCAGATGGTTGTTGTGGAGAACGTACTTTGTAAATCTTGAAGTGCTCTAAAAATGTGAGTTATTGTTGTCATTTATGGTTATTACTCTGCATTAAGATGTACTTTGTCTTGATTCGAATGTCTCCATGCAGGCTTCTTCTGGCCCAGCTCCGTTCCTAGAAATGCTTGAAGTCTGGCAGGAAATCCTAACATATACTTTTCCAAAGCAAGTGTGTTTAATTATCCAGGGAAAGCAGCCTGATCAGCAATCAGTGTTTTTATCTTCCATCTCTCTTCCTGTCACTCGAAATGCCTTCGTATTCTTTAGTGGTTACAGAAGTGGCCTGGAGACAGAGCTCCTGGCTGGTGCTTCTCCATCCCTAGGGAGTGTTCCTGTCCTGGAGGTGGGGCCTGGTGTGGAAAGATGGCGGTTTACTCTCCAGTCCTTCCATTTCCCTTTCGTCAGACTTTGAGGGAAATCAGTTGGCTTTGCCAATGCCTGACTGAAACACGTTATCTTCTGGTCAATCATGTATTGAAGATTGAGGACAGGCTTAACAAAGTAATTAAAACTAGTTCTAATAATTCATTTAGCTTCAGGGGAGTTAGAGCTGAATGAGCCCTCAGAGACTGAGAAAACTGAGAAGAAACTGCTTCATCTTACAAGCAAGGAAACTGAGGCTCAGAGTGAAATATTTGCCCATAATCACACAAACTATGAGTGGCAGCTTTGGGATTTGGACCCGTGCCCTTTGACCCCAGGCCCAGTGCTTTAGATCTTAAAACATGAAGTTATGTAGCACTGACCCTCTTCCCACTGACCCTGTGACAGGTTTCCTGTTCCCATTCCCATTTCTCAGTCACAAAATGGGAATTTGGTAGATGACAAAACAGGGTCAGTGAAAGGTAAATTGACTTGTCCGGAGTCCATAGCTAGGAGCTATCAGAGAGTGAACTGAGGTCTAATGACCCTGAATCCAAAGCTTTTTCTCCTAGGTCCCATTCTAAGTGACTTAAAAGAATCTATTGTGTGTTTTTGGAACACTGTTTGGGGAACCCTTTGGTCCTAGGCAGTGTGAATGGGGGCCTCTGAAAAAACCTTTGCATGCTCAGAAGCCTTCTGGAGGGGGCCACTCCTGCTCTTATCTCGTTAGAAGGGGGCTGATGGCTTCCCTCTCCTCCCAGCTTTAGTTCTGCCCTCCCTAGACCCCTCCTTTTTGGAGTCGACAGAAGCTAGTGTTCTCCAAGAGGAGGTGCAGCCTGGGACAAGAGATTCCATCTTCCTGGAGCTGTAAAAACCCCACTGTCCTTCTGGCCTCCCCTCCTCCTCTGACAATCTGATTCCCCCCAATCTCTGCAAAAAAAAAAAGTACAAGAGAGGTGCTGCAGTCCTAACCTCCCCACTCTCACAGAAGCTGTCTCTTGGTCTCAAAGTAACTGCCAAAACCAAGATCAAGCCAGAGGTTTGAATTTGTGACATTTCTAGAGGCGGAGTAAATATGAATTGGAAGACAGTTGAGTTTGATGGACCATGTAGGAACCCATTGTGGCAGACAGTGGAATTCTTTCTCATGGAACGGGAGATGAATGTTGTATGATAGAAAAGAAGCAGGTTAATGGTAATTTTCTGATTTCTGAGTTAGTGAGAGAGATTGGATCCCTAGCCAGAGTGATTTGGGGCCATCTCTACTATCGCTCTGATCTCATTCATTCCAACAGACAGAGAAGAGAAAATGGTTACCGAGCAGATGTCGTGCTGATCTCTTTATTCAAGGCCTGGTTTCTAAAAATCCAGCCCACAAAGCATTTCAGATGCTTAACTGCCTTTGTGACGTTGGAAAGTCATTTAAGCTCTCTGGGCCTCAGTTTCCTTATCTGGAAAATGAAGGGATTGGGCTAGCTAGCCGCTGAGGTGCTCTTCCAACTCCAGACCAATGATCCTATAGTTTCCCACTAGAAATTTAACATTCCTGCTTTGGAAGGAATACAGTAGGAAGGAGCTCTCCATCTGAAGTCGTGAGCTCTGGATTTGAACGCTGGCTCAGCTATGACCTTGGGCTTCCCGTCTCTGAACCTCAGTCTCTTCTTCCCCTGTTAAAGAGCTCTGGGTTTGGATTTGGGGGAGAACTGGGTTCACATTTCATCTCTTACTATGTTTGTGGTGTTGGGCAAGTCACATAACTAATTTGTTTTCTTGTCTGTAAAATGGGGTCGGTAACACTTGTAGTTGACTAGGTTTTTGAAGGGATCAAATGAGACAGTGTATATAAGGCCCTTTGTAAACCTTAAAGCAGTTTGCAAGCCTTAGCTATTATTATTGTTAATTGTTAAAATGGAAGGGGAAGGGTTTGACCATACCACCTACTCTAGAACTGTTATTATCGGTTGGAAATTTATTAATCACACCTATTTTCTTTCTCTTGCTATTTTGAGTGTGTGCTTTTACACATACTGCATGCGTGCTCACACACATGCAAAATTATGTATAAAAGCGAATTACTATTTTTAGAATCAAAACAGAACAAGCTGTGGAGTTATGCAGTAAACAGATGGGCCTTGAGGAAGGACCCACGCTGCTTTGGGGACGTACATGTTTCTAGCAGAAAAACCTCAGCCAAAAAAGAACCATGAGGCACCATGGCTTAGTAGGAAGAGCTCTGGATTTGGGGTTGAGAGTTGGCTTCCAGTCCTGGCTCCAACATTCCCTTCTTAGCTCTGTGATCTTCAGTAATTATATTCCTTTTCTGGGGGTCAGTTTTTCCATCTGTAAGATGAGAATTATGATAGCATGGAGTCATGGATAGAAGCTTGGACTTGAGTTGAGAAGATACTTTACTAGCCGTGTGAACCTGAACAAGTCTTTGACCTTCAGTTTCTTCAGATGTAAAAGAGATATTGATGTTACCCACCTCACTGGATAGGACCTGAGGAAAGACCTCAACAAATGGAATCAGATTCAGTAGACAAGTATGAGTCCCGACCCTTCTTACTACCTCTGAGAGCTTGACCACAACCTTAAAACGCTGTTGAAATGGCTTCTCTAATTATTGGATTTAGGTTCTGAAAACCTAGGTGCATCTCCCGGCTCTTGAATTTACCAAATATGTGACATTGAGCAAATTGCTAAATCTCAGTGTTCTCATCTATAAGGCAGGAGTAGTAATGTTTGCACTGACTCCCTTGAAAGGAAATCACTATAGAAATGAGAGTTATCATTATTGTCATTAAAAAAAAAGAAAGTTACAAATGTTTTGGCTCTCTATTTTGAGTGAAGGCTTTGGATACAGAACTGGTCAGAAGGTCCTGAGCCAACTCTTCACAATCTTTATGCCCCAGGGTTCCCCATGTCTTCATTTGATTGTGAGTTAATTAGACTTCTGTTATTTTTGTTTCCTTCCCACCCCTGTCTTGTTAGGGAAGCCTAGTAGTTTCTTTCCAGAGGAGAGTTTTATCGACTCGGGAGAGATCGACGTGGGGAGACGGGCATCCCAGAAGATCCCTCCAGGAATTTTTTGGAGATCGCAGGTGTTTATAGATCACCCGGTGCATCTGAAATTCAACGTGTCCTTGGGAAAAGCAGCTCTGGTTGGGATTTATGGCAGAAAAGGCCTTCCTCCTTCTCACACACAGGTAATCAGGAGTCCTTGTTAATTTGGGTTCCCTTCAGTCTGTTCGCATCCAGGGGAATCAACTCTGTGTCAAAACCAAGAAGCATTCATCTCAACTATTCAATTTATTTACTTCAGCTAGAAGTAAACTTAATTATCTTGGGCATGTGATTTTATCTATTGACCTTCACTTTCTCATCTGTAAAATGGAGTTGAACTAAATGACTCTTAAAGTCCTATCCAGCTCTAAAGGTCTATAATTCTGACTTCAAATATTAGATTCTGTTTTCTTATCTCCTGCCATACCTAAAATCTCAAACTGGTAAGGTTATTTTTTTTTAATCCCTAGAAATGTGTAAGCATGGGTTCCCCGTTGCCCATGAGATAAAGTACAGCCTCCTTACCTTACCATTCAGGGCCCATTCATAGTCTGGCTCCAGACTAGAAAACGTAGTTTTGGGGGCAGTTAGGTGGTGCAGTAGGTAGAACACTGGCCCTGGAGTCAGGAAGACCTGAGTTCAGATATGGCCTCAGACAATTACTCGCTATGTGACCCAGGGCAAGTCACTTAACTCTGATTGCCTCAAAAAAAAAAAGTAGAAGATCTGGTTTCAAATTCTGGCTCTCCTCCTCACTAGCCTTGTAATCTTGGACAAGTCACTTAACCTCTTTAGATCTCTTATTTTCCCATCTTTAATATGGAATATGACCTCTAGGGTCCCTTCCAATCCTAAATCCAAGAACACTACATGTACCTTTCCACGCAGCATCTCACTCTATCTATCTACTCCCCTTCCCACATTCTAGGCAAACTAGACTACTCAGTGTTAGCCCATCTCATCCTGTCCCTCCTTGTCTCTTACCATTTGCACATGCATGGAGTATAACCACACCTAATCTCTGCCTGTTGAAATCCTCCTCTTTCTTCAAGTGACAGCCCCACGGCCACCTCTTCCATGGAGCCTCCTTTCCTCATTCCTGGCCTAGAAGGAAGCTCTCCCTACCCAATCTGTCATTATCTTTTTGTCCTCCCCTACCACATTAAATTTTGGGTCAGATAAGTAGACAGACACACACATGTCATAACCCCCTCCACTAGACTGTAAACTCCTTGAGGGCAGGGGTATGTCATTCTTCATCTCTGTAGCTGCAGTGTCAAGCTTGGTGTGCTGCACATTGTAGGAGTTTAATAAATGTCTGTTGAACTGAGTTGGTGATAAAGATGATTTAGAAAAATTTTCTCATCAGCCCTTTTTAGCAACTCATTTCTCATATAACCACAAAATCTCAGATTTGGAAGAGATTTAAGAAGCCATTTACCATTTCAAAGGTCATTCATATCGGACCAGACACCAGCTCTCCAACATTCCCAACGAATAGTCATTCACGTATCTGCTTCCCTTCAGCTGTTGCCAGTTGGTGAAATGAAAGGGGTGGATTAAAATGACGTCCTGGGTCCCTTCTCGCTCTAAATCCCTAGGTTTCCTTTCTATTCATAGTTTCCTTCTTTCTTCTTTCCCCTCTACTTCTTTCTTTTTCTTCTTTCTTGAGTTTGTCTCCCCTCCAAAAATATAGGGATATTTTATCCCTTTTTATATTTTTTTCTTATGGATTTAACAGTTATAAGCAAACATTTAAACACAGAGAAGAACAAAAAAAGGATTGCATATAAAACCTAACTTCAGTTATATAAAATTTTTAAAGTCTATATTAACTAATTATTTAACAGTATTGTCCAATTTGTGTCCCCTTCTGACTTTCTTTTTTTATTGAATTTTTAAAATATTATATCAATGTTTTTTTCTTAATTTTTTCCCTCTCCCTTCTTACTTTCTTCCTTTTCTTTCCCTTACTTTTCTATCACATCTCACTAACTTCTCCCTCCCCCCCCAAATGCTTTCTTTGTGATACATAAATGTAATCAAGCAAAACAAAAGAAAGACACTTTGGCCATGTCCCAAAATGTGTGTTTCATTCTACACCTCTGGTCCATCACATCATGTGGGAGGTAAGTCTCATCATTGGTCCTTGGATGGCATATTGGTTATCACATTGATTAAAATTCTTTCGTCTTTCAAAGTTATTTTCTTTTAAGTTATAGGGAAATTTAAAAAGAAAAATCTGTCCAGGATGATTAATGTGTGGTCTAATTTAGAGGCAGAGGAAATAATGGACCCTTCAGGTTTATTCTAGCTCTGGAATTTAAGTAGTTATACTGTGCCCAACAGTATAAAAATCAGCTATGTATGTGGCAAAAGAAGGATGGGGGCGGGGGGAGGAGAAAGCAGTTATTCTGCATTCACTAGTGGACAAGATTCCCAAGAGAAATGTAGTTTGGGAAGTTTGTGTTGTTTAATCGACCATCAAATGGCATTAACCTCTCTCCCATCTCCCATCTTGAATTTCCTTATGTTTAAAACCCAGGACAGACATTTAGAATTAACCTAGAACAGCCTGCTGATTTTCTTTCCCTTCCTTTTTTCTTTATTCCTTAGTTTGATTTTGTGGAGCTCTTGGATGGGAGGCGACTTTTGACTCAGGAGGTGAGGAGCTTGGAAGGCCCTCAACGCCAGTCCCGAGGCTCTGTCCCTCCCTCCAGCCATGAGACTGGCTTCATCCAATATTTGGATTCTGGGATTTGGCACCTGGCTTTCTACAATGATGGAAAGGAATCTGAAGTGGTTTCTTTTCTCACCACTGCTATTGGTAAGGGAATTAAAGATATCACCTTTTCCCATACTCATTTTGGTATCTCTGTGGACGGGAATGACATGAATTTTCACCATATACATGTTAGTACGTGTATGGACGAAGAGGGAGATATAACTCTTCTCCATATTCTCTTTGGTCATGCAGGTGTGGAATACAGATGTGGGTTGAGTAGGAAATAATTTTTTCCATGTCCACACTGTTGTTTGTGTGAAAAGTTATTTATTTATTTATTTATTTAGTATTTGATAGTTTTTAATACAAATTATGCATTCTAAAGTAATACAAGTAGGACTCCTCTTCCCAATGTTATTTGACGTAGCTCAACAAATTCTAGTTTTGGCAGGAAACAAAATCAAAGGTATAAACATCACCAAAATGGAGGTGAATTTATCCCTATTTGCAGATGATATGAAGCTATGTTTAGGAAACCCCAGAGAATCAGGAAAGACGGAAATTGAATTAATTAATTAAAATTAATTAAAACTGTAAAGTTTTTTAAAGTATTTATTTATTTTTAGTTTTCAGCATTCACTTTTATAAGATTTTGAGTTCTAAATTTCTCCCCTCTCCCTCCCTTTCTCCCTGCCCAAAACAACTTGCAATCTGATATAGTCTATACATGCACAATCACATTAAACATATTTCCACATTAGTCATGTTGTGAAAGAAGAATCAGAACAAAAGGGAAAAACCAGGAGAAAGACAAAAAAGAGAAAATAGTCTGCTTTGATCTGCACTCAGACTCCATAGTTCTTTCTTTGGATGTGGATAACATTTTCGATCATGAGTCTTTCAGAATTGTCTGAGATCATTGCAATGCTCAGAAGAGTTAAGTCTAATAAAGTCGGTCCTCACACAATGTTGCTGTTACTGTGTACAGTGTTCTCCTGGTTCTGCTCACTTCACTCAGCATCAGTTCATGCAAGCCTTTCCAGGTTTTTCTGAAGTCCACCTGCTTGTCATTTTTTATAGCACAGTAGTATTCCATTACATTCATGTACGACAACTTGTTTAGCCATTTCCCAATTGATGGGCATCTCCTCAATTTCCAATTCTTGGCCACCATAAAAAGAGGTGCTATAGATATTTTTGTACATGTGATACATTTTCTCTTTTTTATGATCTCTTTGGGATACAGACCTAGTAATGGTATTGCTGGATCAAAGGATATGCAGAGTTTTATAGCCTTTTGGGCATAGTTCTAAATTGCTCTCCAGAATGATTGGATCAGTTTACAACTCCACCAATAATGCATTAGCGGTCCAATTTTCCCATGTCTCCAACATTTATCATTTTCCTGTTTTGTCATGTTAGCCAATCTGATAGGTATGATGTGGTACCTCAGAATTGTTTTGATTTGCATTTCTCTAATCAGTAGTGATTTAGAGCATTTCTTCATATGACTATAGATAGCTTTAATTTCTTCATCTGAAAACTGTTCATATCCTTTGACCATTTATCAATTGTGTAATGACTTGTGTTCTTATAAATTTGATTCAGTTCTCTCTGTATTTTAGAAATGAAGCCTTTATCAGAGACAGTGGCTATAAAAATAGTTTCTAAGCTTTCTGCTGCCCTAATCTTGGTTGCATTGGCTTTGTTTGTGCAAAAACTTTTAAATTTAATGTAATCATAATTATGACAGGACAAGTTTAGACACATTTACTTTGTTGTCTGTTTAGATGGAAGGATGGCTTGGATGTAGAGAGTACCAGCTACGTGGGTTTACCTCTTTTAAAATTCTGGAATGTCTCAAATGTTTTACTTTCTATTCGTTTCCCTCCACCTTTGTGTTTCAATGTGTATGCTCATTTCTCTCAGTGGTAATTTACCCAGTTGGGTTTTTTTTTTTGGTTAATTTTATTTTTTTCAATGAATAAAAAAATCTATTTTCTCTCCCCTCCCCCATATTTCCTCATTGGAAAATTTAAAAAAAAACCCACAAAATCCTGGTAGCAGGCAACATAGATTCCTTCACTGGCAATGTCCAAATGATCCATGCACATTGAGCCCATTTCCCTCTGTCAGGAGGCGGCTTCATCATCAGTCCTTTGGCATCGTGGTTGGCCATTGCCTTGGTCATCATTGATTCTTTCACAGTTGTTTGCTTCTACAATGTAGTTGTTACTGCATCAGTTGTATTCCTGGTTCTGGCCCTGATAATGAGTGGTGGGACAACCCAATCCATAGATCAGGGAGAGGAATGGAAAGATGATGTGTTTTATCAATCATTGCATTGCAAAGGGGAAAATTCAGCCAAAGAGTAGGTGATCTTTCTGGAAGATGGGGGGAAGAGAAGGGAAGGAAAGGGATAGACATTTATATAGCACCTACTGTGGACCACGCACGGTGCTAAGCACTTTACAAATATTACCACCTTTGATCTTCTTCCTTGAGTCAATAGGAAAACAAGGGCTATTTGCAGAACAAAAACGAGTTGAGTTTTATTTTCCCTCCTGATCTGCCCTGTTACAGTAGGGCAAAGAAAGAAAATAAAGCAAACAGTACAACAAACATTTAAATGCTACTATTTGGAAAGTGTTGTTGTAGATTTGATAAGTCGCCAACTTGAGCTAAGTAATACATCTTTGTTTTCTTTAAAACTCAACTCAAGTGCCACCCCCTACAAGAAGCCTCCCCTGATCCTACCAATTCGTTCTTCTCCCTACCGCCTCACTCCTGCCAAATTATTCTGTATTTATTTTATATGGTTTTTTTTTTTTTTGTATTGGAGAGACACCAGGTAGTGTGGTGAATGGACAGAGAACTATCTAGACTCTCAGCCTGGTGCTGTTTCCATTGTCCGATTCTGCCTCTCTAAACATGAGCAGCTGTTATTGTTGAATGAGATGGTAAGGGATGTGTCCACATCTGACAGCCCAGAGGTAGAAAGAAGGAAATTGTGCACAAAGAAATTCTTATTAAAATGTAGGCTGTAGCATCATTATTGATTCTTTTTTGCAAAATTCTGCCCCTTCCCCCATCCTGCACAGTAATTATTTAATAGGTTCATTTTATTTTCTTTTATGCAAAACCGTTCTGGGTCCAGGGCTACCATTAGTCCGTCTCCCCAAAGAGGTGTTGGTATTGAGACTCAGCTGTCTGCAGTAGTTACCTGAGAACTGGGAGCTGTAATTTGTCTTGGCAGGTTAATTAAAAGTTTAGGTCTAGTTAGAGTGAAGTCATTATGGTTCCAATATACAGTTTTCCCTCTCAAGTTTGCTTAATGCATACAGTGGAACCTGACCCATCATAGCATTGCATTCCAAGATTCAGATGGAACATTTAAGCAGATCTCAGCTGTCAGAATCAGAGGTATTCATGTCTGCTTGTAATTAAGTAACAGGAGAAATAATTGTGTTTAATTTAACAAATGGAGATACTGTGTATATTTTTCCTTTTTCCCCATCTAATTCAGTCCAGCTGATGATTTTAAATTAAATGAGTTTATCTTTCACTATGAAAAATCTGAAAGCACTTTCCAAAGGATATATGTAAATATATACAAACACACACACACACAGCCCATGTTTGCAAAGCACTCTGTGAATGGAATGAATTTGTATACATCCATTCATTCAGGAAGCATTTACCAACAAAGGATTTAAAGCAGGAAGAGACCTTAGGGAAGGTCTAGTGCAGTCCAACACCCTTGTTTTATAAGTGGGATAACTGAGGCCTAGAGAAAGGAACCCAGTTTCCTTGGTTTCCTTTATGACTCAGCTCAAATCCTAGTTTCTGTGAGATAGCTTTCTCAGACTTCTAGTTCTTTACCCCCAGAGATTACCTTTTATTTACACTGTATGCATCTTGTATATGTAATAAGCTATTAAGGTAGATTGTGAGCCCCTTGAGGGCAGGGACAGAGCTTTTGCCTTTCTTTGTATTCTCAGTGTTTAGTGCAATTCCTGGCACAGTAGGGTCTTCTTAAATTGTTGACTGACTGATTGACTAACTTACTTCCTCAAGGTCACAGAGTATATAATAGAGCCAAGATTTCAACCCAAATTTTTTCCTTTTTAATCCATTGCTCTCTCTTCATTTCATTTATCAGGTGTTTACTGTGTGCAGATCATTATTCTTGATCCTGGGGGATTTGAAAAGAGGTCTTTGCTAAGACCTCTGCCCTTTGGCCTCTGCCCTCATGGACCATACAGTCTAATGGAAGATGAGAAACAGACAATTACAGTGCACAATATTACATGCTAAGTGTACAGTACAAGGCCTCTGTAAGGTTTGAGGGTGAAGGCACTTACAAAATTTGAGGGTATCAGCAAGTGGTTCTTGGAGAAGATAGCATTTGATGCCCTTGGACCCCACTGTCCAACATGTAGAACAAAGTAAGGCAAGCCATTGGGAAAGAATATTCTGTATAGGATTTCAAGTATGCCCCCATTTCAGGTGAAAGGAGTGTTCTAGTATGTTCTCTAGTGTTCTAGAGTGCTCCAGTATGATCTCTAAGCTCCTATTCCCAAGGATATTCCCTGCTTGTTATCAGGCCTATGTCCAGTTAAGTGATATTCACAGGCTATCTCTACCTACTGTGTTGGAAAGCAGGGCCAATGTCTATATCAATGCCCTGATTGCAAGCCAGCTGCTCCATCCCAGCTGTGTTAGTATTGACTGCCCAGGCTCTGTTTAACCGCCATACACTGATTGTCTCTAATTTCACAGGCTATGGCTCCTGGTATTACCTTGCAAATCTTTTCCCTCCCAAGAGTTGTCTTCAAATATATGAAAAGAAATTGGACTTGTTACAGCTAAGACCAAAGGAACAAAGGTTGCCCCAATATCATACAGGGGATTTTGGACCACATCGGGGGTTGGACTAGATGCCATGAGGCAGCGTGGAGAAGTGTTTAGAGTTCTGGACTTGGTGTTAGGAAGAGCTGGGTTTAAATTCTACCTCAGGCACTGACTGTATGACCTTTGGGAAGTCACTCCCCTGTTCTTCAGTTTCCTCATCTATAAAATGAAGAGGTTGGATTTGATGG